TGAGCCAGGAGGAGGAAGAGGAGGAGGAAGAAGAGGAGGCGAGAGCGGGAGCCTTCCCCAACCGCTGTACAAATTTCCTGGCTCCTTCCCTGTGCCCGGTATCTCATTTTTTTATTTTTTTTTATTTTTTTTTCCCCGCTCCGTGGCATGCTTTGGTGTGTTTTGTACAGAGGAAAAAAACAAAAAACAAAAACCCAATTAATTAATAATAATAATTAATAATAATAATACAAAGCCAAAGGCTGTAACTGGCCTTGGGCCGCGTCGTGTCGTGGGGGTGTTTGGTTCGTGCTCCGTGTCTATCGCTTGGGTTAGTTCAGCGCTGTGATTTCTAAACCTTTGCTGTTCCGCAACTGACTTTTTTTGTACTTTTACCCCACTTTTTTTGAAATACGAGTGAAAACAACAAAAAAAAAAATAAGGAAGATCATCATCATCATCATCATCATCATCATCTCTCCCAGCAGGACGACCCCAGCGCCCCCCACAAGCTGCAGGACTCCCTCAAATCCTGCCTGAAGGACGAGGAGCCCTTTAACATCCACAACTCCACGTCGCCCAAGCACGATGGCGGCAAAGGGGAGCAGGACGGGGGCGACCTCAACTGCCTGCAGAACAACCTGACATGAGCCAGGAGGAGGAAGAGGAGGAGGAAGAAGAGGAGGCGAGAGCGGGAGCCTTCCCCAACCGCTGTACAAATTTCCTGGCTCCTTCCCTGTGCCCGGTATCTCATTTTTTTATTTTTTTTTATTTTTTTTTCCCCGCTCCGTGGCATGCTTTGGTGTGTTTTGTACAGAGGAAAAAAACAAAAAACAAAAACCCAATTAATTAATAATAATAATTAATAATAATAATACAAAGCCAAAGGCTGTAACTGGCCTTGGGCCGCGTCGTGTCGTGGGGGTGTTTGGTTCGTGCTCCGTGTCTATCGCTTGGGTTAGTTCAGCGCTGTGATTTCTAAACCTTTGCTGTTCCGCAACTGACTTTTTTTGTACTTTTACCCCACTTTTTTTGAAATACGAGTGAAAACAACAAAAAAAAAAATAAGGAAGATCTTGAAATAAAACTTACTTTTTTTTTTTTTTTTTTTTTAAAATTAAA